ACATACCCCACCCCCCCCCCTCCCACCGGCAGCCGAACGGGAGGAAATTATAAAGGGGCAGAAATCCAATCGGGAGCATTCTAGGAGTCCGAACACGCAAAAAAAACATCATGTCACCGCGGAAAATCTCGGAAAATTCTTGATTTTTTAGGAACAAGGAAAATCCTTACCTAAAATTATAAATGTATTTTCCAAGGGAAAACTGTTCCATGTCCATTCGGTTTCGGGGTTAAAATCTACTCACGAGCATCCTGGGAGTGCAACTAACCAAGAAAAACATCATGTCACCGCGGAAAATCTCGGAAAATTCTTCATTTTTTAGGAACCCAGAAAATCCTTACCTACAATGATGAACTGATTTTTCCAAAGGAAAACTGTTGCATGTCCATTCTGTTTCGGGGCTGGAACCTACTCGGGAGCATCCTAGGTGACCGACTGAGCAAAAAAAATAATGTCACCGCGGAAAATCTCGGAAAATTCTTCATTTTTTAGGAAGCCGGAGAATCCTTACCTACAATGATGTATTTATTTTTCCAAGGGAAAACTGTTGCTTGTCCATTCGGATTGTGGGCTGTAATCGACTCGCGAGCATCCTCGGAGTCCAACTAGGCAAAAAAACCATCATGTCACCGCGGAAAATCTTGGGAAAAACTCTATTCCTTACGCCTACCTACATTCGTTACCTACAATGATGAAATGATTTTTCCAAGGGAAAACCGTTGTTTATCCATTCGGTTTCGGGGCTAAAATCTACTCACGAGCAACCTAGGAGTCCGACTGAGCAAAAAAAACATCAAGTCACCGCGGAAAATCTCGGAAAATTCTTCATTTTTTGGGAACCCAGAAAATCCTTACCTACAATGATGAAATTATTTTTCCAAGGGAAATCCGTTGTTTGTCCATTATGTTTCGGGGCTCAAATCTACTCACGAGCATCTTAGGAGTCCGACTGAGCAATAAAAACGACATGTCACCGCGGAAAATCTCGGAAAATTCTTCATTTTTTAACAACCCAGAAAATCCTTACCTACAATGATTAATATTTTCCCAAGGGAAAACTGTTGTTTGTCCATTATGTTTCGGGGCTCAAATCTACTCACGAGCATCTTAGGAGTCCGACAGAGCAATAAAAACGACATGTCACCGCGGAAAATCTCGGAAAATTCTTCATTTTTTCGGACGCCCAGAAATCCTTACCTACAATGATAAATTTATTTTCCCACGGGAAAACTGTTGCTTGGCCATTCGGTTTGGGGCCTAAAATGTACTCACGAGCATTCGAAGAGTCCGACTGAGAAAAAAAAACATCATGTCACCGCGGAAAATCTCGGAAAATTCTTCATTTTTTAGGAACCTAGAAAATCCCTACCTACAATGATAAAATGATTTTTCCAAGGGAAATCTGTTGCATGTCCATTCGGTTTCGGGGCAAAATCTACTCACGAGTATCTTAGGAGTCCAACTAAGCAATAATAACATCAAGTGACCGCGGAAAATCTCGGAAAATTCTCCATTCCTCACGCCTACCTATATTAGTTAACTAAAATAATGAATGGATTTTTCCATGGGAAAACTATTGCATGTCCATTCGGTTTCGGGGCTAAAATCTACTTACGAGCATCCTAGGACTCCAACTAGGCAAAAAAAACATCATGTCACCGCGGAAAATCTCGGAAAATTC